CTCCCAAAGTGCTGGGATTACAGGCGTGAGCCACCGCGCCCGGCCTACTCCTAGTTTCTTTATCATCCTCACTCTTAGAGAGTGATCTTGATTTTTATTCCTATAAAGAGTTTGGGCCGGGCGCGGTGGCTCAAGCCTGTAATCCCAGCACTTTGGGAGGCCGAGGCGGGTGGATCACGAGGTCAAGAGATCGAGACCATCCTGGTCAACATGGTGAAACCCCGTCTCTACTAAAAATACAAAAACATTAGCTGGGCATGGTGGCGCGTGCCTGTAATCCCAGCTACTCAGGAGGCTGAGGCAGGAGAATTGCCTGAACCCAGGAGGCGGAGGTTGCGGTGAGCCGAGATCGCGCCATTGCACTCCAGCCTGGGTAACAAGAGCGAAACTCCGTCTCAAAAAAAAAAAAAAAAAGAGTTTGACAACACGTGTTATTGTTTCTTATACCAACAGACAACAGAAGCAACAGAGGGATACCCCACAGCTCCCCAGCTTCCTCGACACATGTTCGCTCACTCTGCCTTCTCTCCCAATTATTCTTCGGGAACCGTCCCTGCCCCTGCGTAAAGCAATTCCTCTGTTTGTGAACTGGACCCTATTGCTCACCTTTTGAAGGACATGGCTCTAGGAACTTTCCTGATCGCTCTGCTACAACTTTAGTTTTTCCTGTCTACAGGATCCTTCCCACCAGTATACTAACATACCATAACTTTCTCACCTTGAAATAGTCCTTTCCTTGGGTCAGGAAAACCTGATGAGAGAAAAAGATAAATATTAAAAGAAATTGGCCGGGCGCAGTGGCTCACGCCTGTAATCCTAGCACTTTGGGAGACCGAGGTGGGTGGATCACCTGAGGTCAGGAGTTCAAGACCAGCCTGGCCATCATGGTGAATCCCCATCTTTATAAAAAAAAAGAAAAGAAAAGAAATAGTCTTTTCCTGATTGCTCTTTTCCCTCCAGTTACTCTTTTTTCTCCTTCCTTCCTTAGAAAGAGTTTTATAGTGACTTCTCTTTCTTCTCCTCCATTCTTTTGAACCCATTCCAGGCAAGCTTTTGTCCCCACCAGTCCATCAAATCTCCTGATCATGATCTCCAGGGACCTCCATTTTTGCTTTAATCCATTGGTCAATTCTCAGGTTTCATCCTATTTGACATTTTAGTGGCATCTGACTATCACTCTCTATTCCTCTTTCTCGAGACTATTTTTTATTTTTATTTTTTGAGACAGAGTCTTGCTCTGTTGCCCAGGCTGGAGTGCAGTGGCACAATCTCAGCTCACTACAACCTCCACCTCCCAGGTTCAAGCGATTGTCCTGCCTCAGCTTCCTGAGTAGCTGGGACTACAGGCTTGTATCACCATGCCTGGCTAATTTTTTTGTATTTTTAGTAGAGACGGGTTTCACCGTGTTAGCCAGGATGGTCTTGATTTCCTGACCTTGTGATCCGCCTGCCTCGGCCTCACAAAGTGCTGGGATAACAGGCGTGAGCCACCGCACCCGGCTGAGACACTTTTTAAATTTAGCTTGAAGGTCACAACACTCTCCTTGTTCCTTCTTTCCTCTTTGCTGTTCTCATCTCCCTGATCTTTTGTTTCCCATGGCTCAATCCTTGGACTTTTTCTCCTTTCAAACCTCTGTTGGTGGTCTCATCCATTCTGACCTGGGCTTTAAATACTATCCATAAGCCTATGACACCCACTTTTGTTCTCCACTTGGATGTGTAATAGCTTAACATGACTGTAACTGAGCTACCGACCTAACCCCTAAAACATACTTCTCCAGCCAGGCGTGCTGGCTCACACCTGTAATACCAGCACTTCCAGAGGCCGAGGTGGGCGGATCACGAGGTCAGGAGTTAGAGACCAGTCTGACCAACATGCTGAAAACCTATCTCTACTAAAAATTCAAAAATTAGCCGGGCATGGTGGCGTGTGCCTGTAATCCCAGCTACTCAGGAGGCTGAGGCAGGAGAACTGATTGAACCAGGACCTGGGAGGCAGAGGTTGCAGTGAGCCGAGATCGTGCCATTGCACTCCAGCGAGACTCTCCCCATCTCAGAAAAAAGAAGCATGCTGCTCTTGTAGCCTTCTCAGCTCAAGAAATGGCAACTACCTCCTCAGCCCCCATTCTTTGGAGTCTTTTTCTTTCTCCCACACCCTACTTCCAGCCGTTTTAAAAAATAAGTCAGGCCACCATGTCATCTGTCTCCTTTTGATGGCTTCGTATCCCACTCTGAGAAAACGCCAAAGACCTTCCCATAGCCTCCATCTCACCGCTCCCACCCCCTTACCGCTCTGGAACCCACGCCCATCTGAGGACGTCGTACTTGTTCCTTCTTCCTGGAATGTTCTTGTCCCAGATAGCTGCGTGGCTCACTCCCTCATCTCCTTCGGGCCTTTACTTAACCACCATCTTCTTGGAAAGGCTTATACTGTCCACCCTATCTAAAACTGCAACCCTCCCACACCTCCTGTCATACTTCCCTGCTTTGTTTTTTAATTGTTTTTGTTTTTAAATTAACATACTTTATTTCTTGCAGCATTTTTAGGCTTGCAGAAAAATTGAGCACAAAATGGAGCTCCCACACATCCTCTTTCTCCAGTTTCCCCTATTGTTGTTATTATTTTGAGATAAGGTCTTGGTCTGTTGCCCAGGCTGGAGTGCAGGGGTGTGACTACAGCTCACTGCAGCCTTGACCTCCAGGGCTCAGGTGATTCTCCCGCCTCAGCCTCCCAAGTAGCTGGGACCACAGGTGTGCACCACTATGCCAGGCTACTTAAAAACAGTTTTTTGTAGAGATGGGGTCTCTCCATGTTGCTCAGGTTACTCTATTATTTATTAATATCTTGCGTTAGTGTGGTACATTTGTTATAACTGATGAGCCAATATGGATACATTATTATTATTATTTATTTATTTATTTTGAGATGGAGTCTTGCTCTGTTACCAGGCTGGAGTGCAGTGACGCAATCTCGGCTCACTGCAACCTCCACCTCCTGGGTTCAAGCAATTCTTCCACCTCAGCCTCCCAAGTAGTTGGGACCACAGGCGCGTGCCACCACGCCCGACTAATTTTTTTGTATTTTTAGTAGAGACAGGGTTTCACCATGTTGACCAGGATGGTCTCGATCTCTTGACCTTGTGATCCACCCGCCTCGGCCTCCCAAAGTGCTGGGATTACAGGCGTGAGCCACAGCACCCGGTCGGATACATTATTATTAAGGGACAGGGTCTCACTTTGTTGCCCAGGCTGGAGTGCCGCAGCAAGATCATAGCTCACTGCAGCCTCAAACTTCGCGGCTCAAGGGACTCTCCTGTCTCAGCCTCTTGAGTAGCTGGGACTACAGGTGTGCACCACTGAGCTCAGCTAATTTTAAAGTTTTATGTTGATCCGCCCACCTTGGCCTCCCAAAGGTCAGGGATTATATGTGTGAGCCACCAGGCCAGACCTGGATACATTATTGTTAACAAAAGCCCATAGTTTATATTAAAGTTCACTGTGTTGTACATTCCATGGCTTTTGACCAATGAATAATGCCATGTATCCACTATTACAGTATCCTACAGAATAGTGTCAGTGTCCTAGGGTCTCCTGTGCTCCATTTATTCATCCCTCTCCCTCCACCTGAACCCTTGGCAACCAGTGATCTTTTTACTCTCTCTCGTTTTGCCTTTTCTGGAATGCCACATAGCTGGACTCATATAGCATGCAGCCTTTTCAGATCGGCTTCTTTAACTTGGTCATACGCACTGGATTCCTCTATGTCTTTTCACGGCTCGATAGCTCTGCTTTATTTTATTCCTTGGCAGGTATCATTTCTAATATTGATTGTCTTCTCCTTAGGAATATGTTTCATGACACGGCTTCTTGTCTGCTTTGTTCACTGCTGCATCCCCAGTACCACCCTTGCATGGTTGTAAAGATTACATGAGTTATTAATAATATATAAAGTTTATCTTTTTTTTTTTATGTTTTTTGAGACAGGGTCTCGCTCTGTCTCCCAGGCTGGAGTGCCGTGGTACGATCACGGCTCACTGCAGCTTTGATTTCATGGGCTCAAGCGATCCTTCCATCCTAGCCTCCCAAGCAGCTGGGAACACAGGGACCTGCCAACACCTCAGGCTAATTTTTTTTTCCAAATATTTTGTAGAGGCGGAGTCCTGCTATGTTGCACAGCCTGTCTCCAGGGCTCAAATGAGCCACCCACCTAGGCCTCTCAAAGTGCTGGAATTACAGGTGTGAGCCACCCATAATATTATGTGTATATGAGTAGTAATTGTTATTCTGTATAGGGAGACCAGAAGAAGAGGCAGAAATGTAATGCCTGTTGGTTACATCGGGTTAGGGACCCTTAATTAGCTGTTCAGAGAAGGAAGAGCACCTGAGCTGGAGCAACTGGGAGCAAATGCAGGCGGATTGAGCACGCAGGATGCAAGGCTCCGGGAGAAAGGGCACACTAATCCCAACTGCCAATTACTTTACAAAGCACATTTACATTCGAAACTTTGTTTTTTCCAATTATTATTTTTTTTGAGACAGAGTTTTCCTCTTGTTGCCCAGGCTAGAGTGCAATGGCACGATCTTGGCTCACTGCAACCTCTGCCTCCCAGGTTCGCCCAGGTGCGGTGGCTCACGCCTGTAATTCCAGCACTTTGGGAGGTTGAGGCGGGTGGATCATTTGAGGTCAGGAGTTCGAGACCAGCCTGGCTAATATGGTGAAACCCCATCTCTACTAAAAATACAAAAATTAGCTGGGCGGGTAGTGGCATGTGCTTGTAATCCCAGCTATTTGGGAGGCTGAGGCAGGAGAATCGCTTGAGCCTGGGAGGCGGAGATTGCTGTGAGCCGAGATCACGCCACTGCACTCCAGTCTGGGTGACAGAATGAGACCGTTTCAAAGCAAAACAAAAAAAAACCTCTCCAAGGTAGGGAGCGGTGGCTTACGTCTGTAGGATTGCTTGAGACCAGCGTGAGCAACCTGGCGAAATCCCGTCTATACAAAAAATTTAAAAATTAAGGCTGGGCGTGGTGGCTCATACCTGTAATCCCAGCACTTTAGGAGGCCAAGGCGGGCGGATCTCCTGAGGTCAGGAGTTCAAGACCAGCCTGACCAACATGGAGAAACTGTCTCTACTGAAAATACAAAATTAGCCGGGCTAAGTAACATGCCTGTAATCCCAGCTACTCACGAGGCTGAGGCAGGAGAATTATTTGAACCCGAAAGGAGGAGGTTGTGGTGAGCAGAAACTGCGCAATTGTACTCTAGACTGGGCAACAAGAGCGAAACTCGTAAAAAAAATATATATATAATAATAATAAATAAAAAATTAGCTGGACATGATGGCGTTCACGTGTAGTCCCACCTATTCAGGAGGCCGAGGCGGGAGGATCACTGGAGCCTGGGAGGTTGAGGCTGCAGTGAGACGTGATCGCACCACTGTACTCCTGCCTGGGTGACAGAGCGAGGCCCTGCCTCAAAAAAAGTAATTATAAAAAATAAAAACCACAGTGCTAAGGGCTCCGTGCGCGAGGTGGCACACTGGGCTTGCAGATGAATTCTGCCAGTGAGTGCTATTAGAGCATCAAAAAGACTGATTTTCTCAGCGACTCCTCCCTTTCCCCCGCCTCCAGGGGGTGGGGCAACAAAGCGCGGGAAAACTCGACCTTGACCCCACCCACTACTCCGTGCTGGGGGCGGGGGAAAAGGGGGGCTCTTAAATGGGAAATGGAGCCGAGGGTCTCCTCCAGCCCATGTTTAGGACGCCTATCAGTTGCCCCTTTAAGGCCTCTTTGGAAATAGCCCAGGCCACGCCAGCACTCCTAACGTCACCTCCCCCGCTTCCGGTCCGCAAGCCTTTCGCAACCTTTAGGTCCAGGTTCCTTCCACGCTCCAAATCTCGTGCCCCGTCCAGGCACTCCCGCAGAGGGAGGAGCGACGGGTTACGCTGTCGCCCAGGAGCTGGCCTGTGCGAGGACCCTATCCATCCGATTATATGGCGATTTAGACGGTGGGAAGACCGCGAGGAAATGGTCAGCGGATGACGTAATGTTTGGGGTGGCGTCCCATTCTGTGACTTCTGCACGGCTTCAATGACAAGGGATTAGTTTGAAACAGCGCAAACGGACCTACACCTCTAAGCTCCACTCCGAGTCAATGCGGTTCTGCTCAAAGAGCCCACCATACAGAAGCTGGGTTCCTTAGATTCGCGAAGGTGAACATCAGCTTCGAGCAGCCAATAGGGAGCCAGGGGCGGAGACGCACCTGGGGGCTCCCCCTTCAGCAGGAGAGCGGGGAAGCTGGCTGGCTTCTTTCTAAGCGACAGTGGCGGAGGCCAATCGCTTTCGAGACCTGCAGATGGGGCAGACGGACCCCGGCGCAGCCAATGGGGAGAGGTATCTTCAGAGGGCCTCGGCCCCTTGCCCAATGAGCATGAGAGGACTGTGCAGGGCTAGTTCCGAGCGGCAGTACTTAAGGCCAACCCAGTGCCGGGCTAGGAGGGGCGCAGGGCTGAGCGACGGAGGCAAGGGCCAATGGCGAGTGCGAAAGCGGGCAGCCCAGACCCCGAGCGCGGAGGGAGGAGAAGGAGGGGGGAGGCTGAACCGGAGAGAAGCAGGAAGTAGCGGCGGCCGCGGGGAGGGCGGCGGTGGCGGCGGTGGCTGGAGTGGGGTAGAGACCGCCGGGTCTCGGCCCGCAGGAGGAGCGGAACAAGTAAGCGTGCCTGGGGTAAATACCCGCCCTTGGCTCCGCCCCCTGGGGGGGGCGGGTAAATACCCCCGCCCCTCCCCCACTTGGTCAACTACCCCCTTCTCCGCGCCGCCCCCTGGGGCGGCTTCTAGGAAGGCCCAGACACCGCCTCCGTCCATTGGGGTGGATGGGCGAAACTCCCGGCCTGTTGAAACCACAGCCCCTAGCCGGGCAAAGCCCCAGGAGGGTCCTGTACCCCAAGTCCTGGCGCTCCCAGCTCGAGAGGCACCCGAAGTGCGGCTCGGAGACTGGAGGCTGCGGGATGTCGCGACCTAAAATGGTGTCCGTTCCCGGGGATGGGGGCGGGGGAACGGGGCCAGGCGGGAGCGGAACCTGCACCCTGACTGGGCGCGGGTCAGCCTCCAGGCCCGGGCGGGATTCAGGCTTGCGCCTCCGGCCCCCTGCGCACCCTCTGATCAGTCTCCAGTCTCGAGAGAGCCTTCGGGAGTCCGCGGCGTGAGGAGGCTCCGCTGCGCCAGGAGGGGAGGGGACGATGTCCGAGTTGGGACCGACCACGGCTGAAGAGCTGAGAGTCGCTCAGAGACCGGCCCCTCTCATGTCCCCTCTTTCCACCTCCCCACCCGCTCCTGTGTAGTCCTGGGTCCCCAGGTGCTGCGTGGCAGCTCCCAAAGGGCCTGGCCTGGCCGAGGCCCGGCCTTCGCCTCGCACGCAGGTGAGAGTAAGAAGCGTCGCACGCCTCAGTTTCCCCCGTAGTTTCTCTTGTGTACACCCCGCCCCCTCCTCGCAACCCAGGACTTGCTCCCCGCGCCGGCCCTCGGCAGATGGCAGGGACTTAATTCCGCCCGCTGCCCAGCTTGGCCGCAACCTAATCGCTGCCAGCCCCTTGCCCTCCTCTGCGCTGCAGGCCCTGGGCCCGGGCAAAAGGCAGTGGAGCCCCCACTCCACCTGGGCCTATTCAGCCTCTTCCTGTTAGCCTCTTTGGCTTTTGGGGAAGCACAGAGGGAAAGGGGGCGGGGGAGATGGGAGCCCTAGAGACAGGGCGCAGCAATCGCAGGAAGGCCTGATCCTCCTTGGCCTTGAGCTCAGCGGCTTGCTTGGTCAACTGTCTGCTCTGGGTGGGTGGCCATCAGATGACCTCTAAGCCACTGGGACACCCAAGAGGGAGGTGGCTGGCGGGGGGGGGGGTGGCGGTTGAGTTCGCAGGTGTTTTCTTCTCGTCCCCGCTGCTCTTTGCTGTACCAGTCCACTTTTCTGAGGACCAGAGTGGAAGGTAACTCAGGCTTCTGGTCAGGAGGGAGCCCGGCTTAGGAGGGCCTGTAGAGACAAGGGGCTTTGTTTAAACCCGGAGTCTGCAGAATTAAATGGAGGGGTGGGTGAGGGAAGGACTTCCCCTTTCTCTGGTTGGTATCCTTTGCCCCCCACCCCCACCTTGGTCCCAGCAGTCGCAGCTGCCACATGCTGGTACTGTCTCCAGTTACAGGCTGAAGGCTGGAGAGAAGTGGGAGAACAGGCCCTGGGAAGTGGCCTGCAACCTGGGCAGGGATTAGATTCTTTAGTTGCCTCTTCCTAGATACAGAAACACTCATGGGGAAACACCGGTAGGGGATAGACCTGGGTCTTCCACAAACTCTGAGCTGGCCTCCCTGCTGGTTTAGTGCCACATCATTCTTGTGGGATTTTTAATTTTATTTTTTGCACTTGGCCAGGTTGAGGTTAGGTGAGACTTCCTGGGCTGCTGTTGCCACGGGACAGTTGAAGGGTGAGGAGTTTGTTAGGGAATGGAGCGGGGTGAGGAGCTCAGAGCAGACACGGTGAGGGGTGAGGGAGCCTGGCTTTTCCCCACCGTGGCAGCTGTGCTGGATGAGCCTGTACTCTGGGAGTTTTAGCCTCCAGAGAGCAAGATGGGGAGGGGTGGAGGAGGAGGGGCTGGCTAGGGGAGCTCCAGGCACTCTGGGGAAGGTAGTGAGCGAGCAGCAGGTGTTTATGACAAGAAAGGCCTAGGCTGGGGCCCTTGTGACCAGGCTGCCATCACCATTTTCCCCTCTGTCTCTTCTCTTTGTCTGTTTCTGTTCCTGTGTCTTATTCTTTCCATCTTGGTCTCTTGGGTAATTTCTTTGAGTCCATTTCTTCCTACTGACCAAACTAGATCTCCAGGTGCCAGTGATGGCCCCAGGTCCCTAGACGTGATCCTGCGTGACCCTGACTCTTGCCTCTGACCCCAGCCCTAGAGTTCCAATGCTTATTCCTTTCCAGCTCCTCCTTGACCTGACACATTCTTGCTCGGCCCAGCTGGAATAGTAAATTGTATTGTTAGTGTGATTCTTGCATTAGCAATTTCGTATCATGCTCAGAGTAACCCTGTGATATATAGATACTTGTGCCGTCTGTCTTTTCTTATTTTTTGAGACAGGGTATCACTGTCACCCAGGTTGGAGTGCAGTGGCAAGATCGTGGCCCACCACAGCCTCGACCTCCCTGGCTCAGGGGATCCTCCCATGTCAGCTGGGAGGCACAGCTGGGACAACAGGCACTCGCCATCATGCCTGGGGGTTTTTGCCATGTTGCCCAGGCTGGTCTGGAACTCCTGGGCTCAAGTGATTGGCCTCCCAAAGTGCTGGGATTACAGGTGTGCGCCACTGCACCTGGCCATTTGTGTCTTCTTTCAGACAGCAAAATAAAAGGCACTCAAGAAACTTGCTTGTACCACAGGCCCCTGATAAAGCTGAACGAGGATCATTTCTTGTCTTGGCACACGGCATTGCCCCTTTGCATACATGGCCTTTCAGATCTCTGTGGACCCCAGAAGACTCATGAAGAATGTGAATTGATTCCATGCCAACATGAATGAGCCCTAAACCTAGAGCATCGTGTACATCATCCTCCTTAATAATAGTATCGATGATTTCATTCTGTGCTGGGCACAGAAGAAGTTGCTGGGGTGCCCTTCTTCAAGCAGTCTCCAGGGCACCAGAGCGCTCTTGTCTCCCCAAAAGTGCCCATCTGTCAGCTCTTGAAGGAAGAAGTTGTTTCCACCAAGATGCTCACTGAGCTCTGTTACCCTTTCCTGTTCCCTTTAGTTTATTTTGAGATAGGGTCTTGCTCTGTCCAGGCTGGAGTGCGTTGGTGTGATCTCAGCTCGCTGCAACCTTAAAACTCATGGGTTCAAGTGATTCTCCTGCCTCAGCCTCCTGAGTAGCTGGGATTACAGGCGTGTGCCACCACACCTGTTTAGTATTTTGTATTTTTAGCAGAGACAGGGTTTTACCTTGTTGGCCAGGCTGGTCTTGAACTCCTGACCTCAAGTGATCCACCTGCCTTGGCCTCCCAAAATGCTGGGATTGCAGGCATGAGCTACTGTACCCGGCCCTTCCCTGTATTTCTGAGAACTCTTTTTCCCCTGCTTTCTTTGGATTTTGGTGCCTGTCAAGTTATGGACACTAACCCTCTTCTGATTTTAGGGTTTGGCAAACCAGTCATCTCTAGCAGCTTTGTAGGACTCATGCTGTGGTGGAGGTGTACCCAAGTTGGAGTGCATGTGGGTTCTGAGAGGATAAATATGGAGATACTGAGGGAAGAGCTCCAGGATCTCTCTTCCAGATGTCTCAGTTTCTCCTCTTTATTCCGGTTTTCATCAGGTCTGGGACCTGCCGATATGGGGGATATGAAGACCCCTGATTTTGATGACCTCCTTGCTGCCTTTGACATCCCTGACATTGATGCGAATGAAGCCATCCATTCTGGGCCAGAAGAAAACGAGGGGCCAGCAGGCCCAGGGAAGCCAGAACCCAGTGTGGGAAGTGAATCTGGAGACACAGCAGCAGCCTCTGCTGGGGACGACTCTGGAGTTCCAGCCCCGGCCTCTGACCATGGCCTGCCGCCGACAGACATTTCTGTAGTCAGTGTCATTGTCAAGAACACTGTGTGTCCTGAGCAGTCTGAGGCCCTGGCTGGAGGCTCAGCAGGAGATGGGGCTCGGGCTGTGGGGCCTCATCGAATGCAGAATGGTTTTGGGGGCTCTGAACCTTCCCTCCCAGGAACCCCCCATTCTCCTGCTCCTCCCAGTGGGGGCACTTGGAAAGAAAAAGGCATGGAAGGCAAAGCTCCCTTGGACCTGTTTGCTCATTTTGGGCCTGAGCCAGGGGAGCACCCGGATCCCCTGCCTCCCTCTGCACCCTCTCCCCCTCGGGAGGGGGCTATGACCCCACCTCCTTTCCCCTCTCCCTTTGAGCTGGTCCAGGAG